AAAAAAAAAAAAAAAACGCAAAATAATGTAATGCGCGTATGTGGAATTCGTCGATGTTGCCGCCACCACATCATTTTTGACAAACTTCTTGGCACTGTATCTCGGTAAGTACTGATCAGAATTTTTTTTTTTTGTCTTATTACCTTCACAAAAATATGCTCTTTAATTCTGTAAGAAAAAATAATTTTTTTTTTTTCAAAATTTCTTGGACACTGGAGCACCACTTCAGATTTTGGCCTTGGACCCTGAAGGGGTTAACCCTTTCAGGGTTTCAGCCGTACTTGTACGGCTTATGCACCAGGGTTTTTGACGTCCTAGTATGCCTAAATTCTAGCGCCCTCAAATCTGGTGAGAGAAAGCTGGTAGGCCTACATATGAAAGAATGGGTCTATGTGGTCAGTGTGCGCAGTATAAAAAAAATCTTGCAGCACACAGTGTGTAATGAGAAAAAAAAAACTTTAACCGTGTTTTCGGATTAAAACAGCGACTTTGCACTGTATTTTCGTTTGGTATTTATTGCTGTATTCTAGTTTTCCTGGTCTCATTTTATAGAAAGGAAGACATATTACCGAAATTGAGATGTTTTGACTGGTTTTACAAAGAAAAGTACCTTTAAATTGAGCTCAAAGTAGCAGAAATGTTCGATTTTTACCAAAGTTCAAAAGTAAACAAATCATGCTATGCGCCCAATACACATCAACTGGTGAGTCTAATATTCTTTCACAAGTGCGCTGATATTATTTATACCATTTCTACACTAATGCAGTAGTCTACATAACAGTAAATCTTCTATTTTTTTGTGAGAATAAAAATTCAAAGTGGAAAGCAAAAGAATGTAAGAGGGGCATAGGGACGTGACTAATTTACAGAGGAAATGTTATTTTAGTGCCAGGAATGTCTTTCTTGTTTATTCTGGACCCTATTCGGTAATTGGAATCTTTTGAAATTTGTGTGAAATTGGCAAAATTGATGTGTATTGGATGCATAGCATGATTTGTTTACTTTTGAACTTTGGTAAAATATCGAACATTTCTGCTACTTTGAGCTCAATTTCAAGGTACTTTTCTTTGCAAAACCAGTCAAAATCATCTCAATTTCCGTAATATGTCTTCCATTCTATAAAATGAGACCAGGAAAACTAGAATACAACAATAAATAGTATACAAAAATACAGTGCAAAGTCGCTGTTTTAATCCAAAAACACGGTCAAAGTTTTTTTTTTTTTTCTCATTATGCACTGTGTGCTGCAGGATTTTTTTTATACCACGCACACTGACCACATAGACCCATTCTTTCACATGTAGGCCTACCAGCTTTCTCTCACTAGATTTGAGGGCGCTAGAATTTAGGCGTACTAGTACGTCAAAAACCCTGGCTCGTAAGCCGTACTAGTACGGCCGAAACCCTGAAAGGGTTAATTGAGCTATGTGTAGAAAGAGGTTTGGTAATAAGTAATACGTATTTTATGAAGAAGAGGATAAGTAAATATACAAGGTATGATATAACACGTAATGAAAGTAGTTTGTTAGATTATGTATTGGTGGATAAAAGATTGATGGGTAGGCTCCAGGATGTACATGTTCATAGAGGGGCAACTGATATATTGGATCATTAGTTAGTTGTAGCTACAGTTAGAGTAAGAGGTAGGTGGGAAAAGAGGAAAATGGCAACAACAAGCAAGAGGGAGGTGAAAGTGTATAAACTAAGGGAGGAGGAAGTTCGAGTATTGGCAGAAAGGTGGGCTCGTGCAAGTATGAGTAGTGTTGGGGTTGAAGATGGTTGGAATAGTTTTAAAAATGCAGTATTAGAATGTGGGGCAGAAGTTTGTGGTTATAGGAGAGTGGGTGCAGGAGGAATGAGGAGTGATTGGTGGAATGATGAAGTAAAGGGTCATAATGCTCTGCATACAAGGGGCTTTGGCATGTTGCACTGTAATAACTTTGTACTTCACTGTATCATGTTCAAATTAATAAATAAATAAATAAATAAATAAATAAATAAATAAAGGGTGTGATAAAAGAGAAAAAGTTAGCTTATGAGAGGTTTTTACAAAGCAGAAGTGTTATAAGAAGAGTAGAGTATATGGAGAGTAAAAGAAAGGTGAAGAGAGTGGTGAGAGAGTGCAAAGGAGAGCAGATGATAGAGTGGGAGAAGCACTTTCAAGGAATTTTAATGAAAATAAGAAAAAATTTTGGAGTGAGTTAAACAACTTATGAAAGCCTAGAGAATGAATGGATTTGTCAGTTAAAAACAGAGTAGGGGAGTTAGTAGATGGGAGATGGACGTTTTGGGTAGATTGCGAGAATATTTTGAGGAACTTTTAAATGTCGACAAAGAAAGGGAAGCGGTAATTTCATGAACTGGCCAGGGAAGTATATCATCTTTTAGGAGTGAAGAAGAGCAGGATGTGAGTGTGGGGGAGGTGCGTGAGGCATTACGTAGAATGAAAGGGGGTAAAGCAGCTGGAACTGATGGGATCATGACAGAAATGTTAAAATCAGGGGGGGATATAGTGTTGGAGTGGTTGGTATTTTTGTTTAATAAATGTATGGAAGAGGGGAAGGTACCTAGGGATTGGCAGAGAGCATTTATAGTCCCTTTATATAAAGGGAAGGGGGACAAAAGAGATTGTAAAAATTATAGAGGAATAAATTTACTGAGTTTACCAGGAAAAGTGTACGGTAGGGTTATAATTGAAAGAATTAGAGGTAAGATAGAATGTAGGATTGCGGATGAGCAAAGAGGTTTCAGAGAGGGTAGGATGTGTAGATCAAGTGTTTACATTGAGGCATATATATGAACAGTATTTAGATAAAGATAGGGAAGTTTTTATTGCATTTATGGATTTAGAAAAGGCATATGATAGAGTGGATAGGGGAGTAATGTGGCAGATGTTGCAAGTATATGGAATAGGTGGTAAGTTACTAAATGCTGTAAAGAGTTTTTATGAGGATAGTGAGGCTCAGGTTAGGGTGTGTAGAAGAGAGGGAGACTACTTCCCAGTAAAAGTAGGTCTTAGACACGGATGTGTAATGTCACCATGGTTGTTTAATATATTTATAGATGGGGTTGTAAAAGAAGTAAATGCTAGGGTGTTCGAGAGAGGGGTGGGATTAAATTATGGGGAATCAAATACAAAATGGGAATTGACACAGTTGCTTTTTGCTGATGATACTGTGCTCATGGGAGATTCTAAAGAAAAATTGCAAAGGTTAGTGGATGAGTTTGGGAGTGTGTGTAAAGGTAGAAAGTTGAAAGTGAACATAGAAAAGAGTAAGGTGATGAGGGTATCAAATGATTTAGATAAAGAGAAATTGGATATCAAATTGGGGAGAAGTATGGAAGAAGTGAATGTTTTCAGATACTTGGGAGTTGACGTGTCGACGGATGGATTTATGAAGGATGAGGTTAATCATAGAATTGATGAGGGAAAAAAGGTGAGTGGTGCATTGAGGTACATGTGGAGACAAAAAACGTTATCTATGGAGGCAAAGAAGGGAATGTATGAAAGTATAGTAGTACCAACACTCTTATATGGGTGTAAAGCTTGGGTTGTGAATGCAGCAGTGACGAGGCGGTTGGAGGCAGTGGAGATGTCCTGTCTAAGGGCAATGTGTGGTGTAAATATTATGCAGAAAATTCGGAGTGTGGAAATTAGGAGAAGGTGTGGAGTTAATAAAAGTATTAGTCAGAGGGCTGAAGAGGGGTTGTTGAGGTGGTTTGGTCATTTAGAGAGAATGGCTCAAAGTAGAATGACATGGAGAGCGTATAAATCTGTAGGGAAAGGAAGGCGGGTTAGGGTTCGTCCTCGAAAAGGTTGGAGGGAGGGGGTAAAGGAGGTTTTGTGGGCGAGGGGTTTGGACTTCCAGCAAGCGTGTGTGAGCATGTTAGATAGGAGTGAATGGAGACGAATGGTATTTGAGACCTGACGATCTGTTGGAGTGAGAGCAGGGTAATATTTAGTGAAGGGATTCAGCGAAACCGGTTATTTTTATATAGCCGGACTTGAGTCCTGGAAATGGGAAGTACAATGCCTGCACTCTAAAGGAGGGGTTGGGGATATTGGCAGTTTGGAGGGATATATTGTGCATCTTTATAGGTATATGCTTCTAAACTGTTGTGTTCTGAGCACCTCTGCAAAAACAATGATTATGTGTGAGTGAGGTGAAAGTGTTGAATGATGATGAAAGTATTTTCTTTTTGGGGATTTTCTTTCTTTTTTAGGTCACCCTGCCTCGGTGGGAGACGGCCGACTTATTAAAAAAAAAAAAATACTTCTAAAGTGTTGTATTCTGGGCACCTCTGCAAAAACAGTGATTATGTGTGAGTGAGGAGAGAGTGTTGAATGATAACAAAAGCACTTTCTTTTTGGGGATTTTCTTTCTTTTTGGGTCACCCTGCCTCAGTGGGAGATGGCCAACTTGTTGAAAAAAAAATATTACAGGCACTCCTCACTTAACGACCTACCTGTTTAGTGACCACTCAGACTTACGACCAGCTCTCCGACCAGCTGGTATATTGTATACAGTGTAGTGTATACAAAGGTGACATTAAAACATCTACAGATGGTTGACACAACTCACTTATCGACGAATTTGCTTAATGACCTAGTGGTAGGAACGGAACTCAGTCGCTAAGTGAGGAGTGCCTGTATTATTAACCTTTAAACTGTCCAAACATAGATCTACGTTTTTTCAACATTTGAATGTATGTAAAAAAGTAGATCTTCTTTTCTTTTTTTACATTTGAAAATGTGTAAAAATAACTTTGATCCACTTTTTTTTTGTTATATATGAAAATATGTAAAAAAAAAAGTAGATCTACTTTTGGAGCACTACGCATGTGAACATAGATCTGCTTTGACAGTTTAAGGGTTAATACAGCCTCTCCTCACTTAGCGACATACTCGTTTACCAGCGACTCAGACTTACGAAGGGCTCTCTGACCAGTATTCATATCTAAATAATGTATATTAGAGCTGATTTCCTCTATTCTGTTTAATACAATATACAGTACACTACTGTATAAACATTTGAAAATATACCAGAAATGTTAAACAGGTCGGCCATCACTAATCCGGCAATCAGTTATCCAGTTCCATCAGTAATCTAGCACTAATTTCAGCTAGCATAATTTCAAATTTCATCTTTATTCTGACTCGGAAATTGTGCAGATGGTTGTAAATCCACAGCAGCAAGCCATTGGAGGAGAAAGCAGTGATGAAAATGAGGAAGATGTAGCCGAGTCAGATCTATTGATAGGTTAATTAAATTTATTCTAACATAACCACTCTGTAATCCGGCAAACTCACTAATCCTGCATACTACAGGTCCCAATGATGCCGGATTAGTGATGGCTCACCTGTAAATGATGCAAAGGTGACATTAAGACCATAGATCATTGATAAAAACTACCATTATAATATGCTCCTCACTTAGTGATGAATTCATTTACCGATGTGGTCTTAGGAATGGAACTCCGTTGTTAAGTAAGGAGAGGCTGTATTATATTGAATATACCCTAATTTACATAAGAAGTGCTTACCGTAGAAAGACCATCAGAGAAGAGAGACAAAGTGATGGTGATGACATCCTTCTCAGAGAGTTCCTTACGAGACATGAGGTAAGTGAGAAAGTTGAACTGGCCATCTACAAGCTTCTTTTCTTTTATAAGATCCTTGATCTCATCCATCGTCTCTCTGATGAACTTAATTGACAATCTAGAATATGAAATTCAGAACACCTTATTAAGAAGTAGAATGTTACAATTAAAAAATATATAGAAATATAAAATGGGGTATGTATACTTTACAATATATATATAGTATAATTTGAATGGCAAATACATTGGCCAACAATAGTTTCAGTTCACATTTAAAAACAGGCATTTCTAACTAATTTTGGGGTGCTGAATAGTCAACTACAGCTGGATGCTGGTGCAGGAAAGCGATACTGAACACAAATGAAAAAGCCTAAAAACTGTGGCATAAATTAGCTTGTATAACTGTACGGAAATTTATGTTATTTTTATTATGCATATAAATAATGAAATTATGTTAAGAAAAATTAGTTTTTTTCTCTGCATGCACCACACTTAATACAAGTTGGCCATCACTAATCTGGCAATCAGTAATCCAGCTCCCTCAGTAATCCAGCACTAATTTTGGCTAGCATAATTTCAAATTTCCAGGGTGGCCACACCAACCTGTTGCTACTGTTGGGTGGTGCTACTTGCCGCATAAGTCATTCCAATTTCTTTTTCTCCATTTATTGCTCACTTTTAGCCCTAGCCATGGTTTCAACAAATAAAAGAAATGCTTCTCGTTGTGTAAAGCACATACACCATACAGTGTCCAAAAAAGATAAAAGTGGCTTTGAAGTCACTGTCAGTCGCCTTGAGCTCAGCTCACACAGATATGCTGTGACCAGTAAATTTGGGCCTACATATGAGAAAATAGGTCCTGCAGCACGTAGTGCATAATGAGAAAAAAAACTGCAACTGTGTTTTTGGTATAAAACTCCGAATTTGGGGTGTATTTTCATATGGTTGTATTCTCATTTTTTGGTCTTGTTTGATAGAATGAAAGACATATTACAGAAATAGATATGATTCTGATTGCTTTCACAACAAAAAGTACCTTTCAATTGAGCTATGGTAAGCAGTACCCTTAAACCAAGACAGCAATGCCGAAGAGTAGGTAACAAGGCAAACAGATTACTGGGATTTATATCTAGAAGTGTAAGCAACAAAAGTCCAGTGGTTATACACCTACCATCCGACTTACGACCTGCTCGACTTACGACCACTCAACTTACGACCGTGTTTTTATGCCAAATTTCTGGGAAATAAGCAACTATCTGTGTTGTACACAGTGTTTATCCTAAACCTTACAGTATAAAATACAGTACTAACAGCATAAAAAGTAAAGTAAAACATGAAATACCAAAATAAAACAATAAAATAAAGTCATTACAAAAATGTTATGTTGATATTCAGTAGTAAAGTTCGGCTTACGACCACTTCGACTTACGACCGGTTTCTCGGAACCGAACTCGGTCGTAAGTCGGATGGTAGGTGTATTACATCTTTATATGTCATTAGTAAGGCCTCACCCAGATTACGCAGCTCGGTTCTGGTCTCCATATTACAGAATGGACATAAATTCGTTAGAAAACATTCAGCGTAGAATGACTAAATTAATACTTAGCATTAAAAATCTTCCTTATGAAGAAAGACTGAAGACCCTTAACCCTTTCAGGGTTTCTGACATACTAGTACGGCTTACGCACCAGGGTTATTGATGTACTAGAACACCTAAATTCTAGCGCCTTCAAATCTAGTGAGAGAAAGCTGGTAGGCCTACATATGAAAATATGGGTCTATGTGGTCAGTGTGCACAGTATAAACAAAATCCTACAGCACACAGTGTATAATGAGAATAAAAAAAAACTCCATGTTTTTGGTTTAAAACAGCTTCTTTGCAGTGTATTTTCGTATGGTATTTATGGTTGTATTCTAGTTTTCCTGGTCTCATTTTATAGAATGGAAGACATATTACAGAAATCGAGATGATTTTGATTGGTTTCATAATGAAAAGTACCTTGAAATTGAGCTCAAAGTAGCAGAAATTTTCGATTTTTACCAAATTTCAAAAGTAAACAAATCATGCCAAGCATCCAATACACGTCAACTGGTGAGTCTAATATTCTTTCACAAGTGCACTGATATTATTTATACCATTTCTACAATAATGCAGTAGTCTGCATAACAGTAAATCTAATATTTTTTGTGAGAATAAAAATTCAAGGTGGAAAGCAAAAGAGATGTAAGAGGGGCCTGGGGACGTGACTAATGAACAGAGAGAATGTTATTTTAATGCCAGGAATGTCTGTCTTAGTTATTCTGGGTCCTATTTGGAAATTGGAATCTTCTGAAATTTGTGTGGAATTGGCAAAATTGCCAATTTCTGACCACTTTACTGGATACTTGACATCGGTAAATGGGTGGTTTCTTGTACTCATTCGATAGAAAAAATGGAGTTCTAGCGGAATAGATATGATTTTTGTCAACTAGTACACAGAAATTGTCAGAAAACAGGGCTCAAAATGGGCGAAATTGCCGATGAATCAACATCGTCAAGACCACTAACTTCATAAGAGCATAATTCCTTGAGTTTTCCATCAAATTTCATACTTTTGGTGTCATTATGTTGGACCAGAGATTTGAGTCCTGCAGGATCATGTGTTGACCACTGTAATGGAGGCAGCCAGGTTAGCTGATACTTTTGAAACCAACTGCTCGTTGTCTGAGCGGTTCCATCTCTCTTTTCAATAGCCTGGCACGAGTACAGACCGTCAACGAAAAGTTCCTGATTGGAGAATGAACTGCCAGCAGGAAGAGGAATGATGATGTCAGCCAACTAAGTCACTTGGTGAGCCACGCTACTCAACCTATGGTCAACCTGGTGAGCGACAAACTGGTCAACATGGTGTATCCCGATAACAGTACCCAGAGTGGCACCAGCCACAACATCAGCAAGGAGCTAAGGTCAAAAATGTCGTTTGCTCCCATTGTAATAAATCAGGCCACATCAGACCTAACTGCCCAAATAAACCCCAACCATTAGGGAAAAATTTATAATGTTATGTCCCTGAAAGAAGTAGAGAAAGGGATGGCCCCATATTATAGTAAATGTAAAATATCCCTTCAGGAAAATTCAAAGAAAACCGAAGTCAGAACCTTTAGGGACACTGGAGCATATTGCTCACTTATAAGAGAGGGAGTACTTCCTCTTTCTGAACACACCTCATTACAATACTCTGTTCTAGAAGCTTTTGGAGTAGCAGTGTTTTCTTTCCCCTTACATAAAATATACATCCAAAGTAGGTATTACACTGGATATTTGACTGTAGGGGTATCTGATGGATTTCCTATGAAAGATGCAGTGTTATTACTGGGTAATAACATTACCCAGTAATAACGACTCTGATCTCGGAATAGCCAATTTGTTTTACGAGGAAAACTGGCCAGGGCCTTGTAAATTTAGTGAACAGACCCAGATCAAGCCTTCCTATTCCAGGGTTGCAGGATTGCCAGATGTGTCTGTTTCCATGCCTGAGGGACTGTCCTTTCGAAAGGAACAGCGAAAAGACCCTTCCTTAAATTTCGCTTTTCAGGCAGCCATGGGTAAATCCTTTTCACATCACCCAGTCAACTATAAAATTAAGAACGACTACTTAATCAGCACTGAGACTGGTAAGGAAATGGAAGGAAGGCAACAGTCAGACAGGTTAGCATTTCCAAAAAAGTTTAGACCTCAAATATTAAATATAGCTCATAACTCTTCAATATGACAGCAAAGTTTGTGCTGTTATTGTGTAGTATACAATGAGTGAATATAAACCAAATAGTCTTTATATTGGTCTCAGAGGCCATAAAAGTTACTTGAAAAAATAGATACTCAGAAGCAATTCCCCTGCACAGTTATTTATTTATTATCACACCGGCCGATTCCCACCAAGGCAGGGTGGCCCGAAAAAGAAAAACTTTCACCATCATTCACTCCATCACTGTCTTGCCAGAAGGGTGCTTTACACTACAGTTTTTAAACTGCAACATTAACACCCCTCCTTCAGAGTGCAGGCACTGTACTTCCCATCTCCAGGACTCAAGTCCGGCCTGCCGGTTTCCCTGAATCCCTTCATAAATGTTACTTTGCTCACACTCCAACAGCACGTCAAGTATTAAAAACCATTTGTCTCCATTCACTCCTATCAAACACGCTCACGCATGCCTGCTGGAAGTCCAAGCCCCTCGCACACAAAACCTCCTTTACCCCCTCCCTCCAACCCTCCTAGGCCGACCCTTACCCCGCCTTCCTTCCACTACAGACTGATACACTCTTGAAGTCATTCTGTTTCGCTCCATTCTCTCTACATGTCCGAACCACCTCAACAACCCTTCCTCAGCCCTCTGGACAACAGTTTTGGTAATCCGCACCTCCTCCTAACTTCCAAACTACGAATTCTCTGCATTATATTCACACCACACATTGCCCTCAGACATGACATCTCACTGCCTCCAGCCTTCTCCTCGCTGCAACATTCATCACCCACGCTTCACACCCATATAAGAGCGTTGGTAAAACTATACTCTCATACATTCCCCTCTTTGCCTCCAAGGACAAAGTTCTTTGTCTCCACAGACTCCTAAGTGCACCACTCACTCTTTTTCCCTCATCAATTCTATGATTCACCTCATCTTTCATAGACCCATCCGCTGACACGTCCACTCCCAAATATCTGAATACGTTCACCTCCTCCATACTCTCTCCCTCCAATCTGATATTCAATCTTTCATCACCTAATCTTTTTGTTATCCTCATAACCTTACTCTTTAGTATTAATACTAAAGCAATTCTTAAAGCTTTAACTAAGTTTATCTCTTGCTTTGGCATTCCTAAATCTATTCAGAGCAATCAAGGTACTAACTTTACTGCCAAAGCATTTAGAGAAGCATTAACTAGGCTAGGGATAATTCACAACTTATCCACTGCATATCATCCTCAGTCCCAAGGCACCTTGGAAAGATTCCATCAGACATTAAAAACCATGATGAGAACTTTTTATATGCATTTTCCTACATTTTCCTGGGATGAATCACTACCTTTGTTGCTGTTTTCAATAAGGGAAACTGTGCAGTTTACCAGGTATAGTCCGT